CCCCAAAACCCCAAAACCCCAAAACCCCAAAACCCCAAAACCCCACTTTGAGATTTTTTGTTTGAAAGATTTTATTTCGCAAAATAAAATGAAAGGTGAGGAGGAGAGAGATAATGAAGAAAGAAAGATGGTCGAAGAGGAGATAGTTCATTCAGAAAGTTTACAGAAGGTTTTGGTGTATAAAAGTGTACAATCGCATCAGTTTTTTGATCCCAGGACATACTTTAATTTGACAGAAAAATGGCTAAGATTCGAAGTAAGGCAGTTTACTCGTAGTATTGGGAATAGAATCAATAGTAGCCTTGTAAATAAGATTGGAAGCCTAGGCACTTGACCTGATTATAATACCTTGCTGCAATATTATCATCAAAGCCCCTCTTCAGTATCGAGTTTTGAGAAAGCTTGCTCTTTCCTCTCAGCAAGATCAAAAATAGAGCTGTTTACATACAACAGTCTAAAGATAGACAAGCCTCATAGCATCTTTCGTTCTTTATTTAAAGTTCTCCCAAATATAGTTCAGACTTGAGAACTTTGTGGAATAAAGATCTTTGAAAAACACATGATTCGAATTTTCTCTAGCCTTAGTCAAGCAAAGATACTTAAGTTCTACATCTGCTCAATGGATACAGTTGATCGAGATTGTGCTCTGAAATTACAGAGCAACCTCAATCAGATATGGTTCGGTCACTGAACTTGGCTGTCCCAACATCAGAAATGGCACATATATGTTCTACCAACTATATTGAGATTTCTCTCTAAAGTTGGAATTGCGGAAGAAATAGAAACCATTCAGATCCGTGTAAATAGCAACCTTGATAAATCAACGGTCTCTATTCACGATGAAGTAGCCACCCTCAAGGAGAAGCATTGGTCTGGAGAAGGTAAATTCATAGTCACAGACGAAGGGCCCAACAATGTTATAGAAATTGGCTAAGTTCTAAAGATTTGATACAATTTCAACATTCTATTACTTCCACGGGGTTTTGGGGTTTTGGGGTTTTGGGGTTTTGGGGTTTTGGGGTTTTGGGG